TACAGGGCTGCCTCACTTATCGCAAATGTTACGGGCATGAAACTTGTTGCGAATATCGAAATTGTGAATAGCGGAGCAATTTCTCCCATAAATAATGTCAATAGGGGGGATACGGGCATCGCGGTGGTCACGGCCGTCAGATTTTAACACTTGTTTTACTCAATACATATAGAACATAAAATAAATAAAGAAACAAGGGCATAAGATCAAATAAACATCAATAACAAACACTTTGAGTTTATTAGGTGTATATGTTTACAAGTACCGTATGCTTTACATGATTGAGTGTGTGAGTGTTTGAATGTTTATGTGCATAGGTGTGTGAGGTAAGTTTTAGAAGTAGACTGTTAATTTACCTCTGATGTGCTGTGTTGCTTGCTTGCTGAAGTTGGCATTAGGGGAGAGGGTGAAGGTTTACTGGGGTGAGAGGAGGCTGGGGTCATCAGCCACCTCACTCTCCTCACTGCCAGGGTTGTCAGCCACCTCACTCTCCTCACTGCCAGGGTCGTCAGCCACCTCACTCTCCTCACTGCCAGGGTCATCTAACACCACTCCCCACCATCACGCCAGGGTCGTCAGCCACCCCACACCTCATCATCACTGCCAGGGTCGTCAGCCACCCCACTCATCATCACTGCCAGGGCTGTCAGCCACCCCACCTCCCCCCCACCGCCAGGGTCATCAGCCACCCCACCCCCATCATCACTGCCAGGGCCATCAGCCACCCCACCTCATCACCACCACAGGGCCGTCACACCTCACCTCATCATCACTGCCAGGGTCACAACACCCACCTCACATCATCACTGCCAAACATCAGCCACCCCACCTCCCCCCACCAGGGCCGTCAGCCACCCTACCTCATCAGCCGCCAGGGCCATCAGCCACCCCACTCTCATCATCACCGCCAGGTCGTCAGCCACCTCACCTCATCATCACTGCCAGGTCGTCAGCCACCTCACTCATCATCACTGCCAGGCCGCCGCCACCCCACTCTCCTCACTGCCAGGTCGTCAGCCACCTCACTCTCCTCACTGCCAGGGACGTCAGCCACCTCACTCTCATCATCACTGCCAGGGTTGTGAGCCACCTCACTCTCCTCACTGCCAGGGTCATCAGCCACCTCACTCTCATCATCACTGCCAGGGTCGTCAGCCACCTCACTCTCCTCACTGCCAGGGTCGTCAGCCACCTCACTCTCCTCACTGCCAGGGTCGTCAGCCACCTCACTCATTCATGATTTCGCTGTTGCACAGCCACTGAAAGCTGTTGTTCGGCCGCTGGTTGAAGGCTGTGTTTTACACTGGTCTTGGAATCAGTCTGGATCTTTGAGGGTTCATTGTATTTACATTGCAGTATTTGTTATGTATGGGATATTATTGTTGTTTTGTTTGGGCAGGGTTGTACTCTAACCTATGCTAAATTATGGGATTAGGACTGCTCTGGTTTTTCAACAGATCAACTTAAACACAGGGTCCAGGAATGAAACTCGGGGACTGATTGTACTCTACTGTATAAGAGTTTTTACCTTCTTGCACTCCTTTTCCTCCTGAAATACATGGTGGCCAGTGAAGAGGAAAAACACACATACTCACACACACTGCCAATTTATTTGTTGTCATTTTTATTATAACTTTAACAGATGAATATAGAAATTTATATTAAATGGTTGATTTCTCCTCCACCAGGTTCGGTTTGATGCAGGTCAGATTTCAGCTCGGTCAACAATTTTTGGTAATGAGCTGGAAGAATCGAAGCTACTATCCACATCATGTAATTCTCTGGGGTCTTTTGGTGAAGCTGTGAGCAAATTGGATGAAAATGACTTTTATGATGAAAATAGGTCAGTGGTTCATATTTCTGCCATAACAGCACTGTACGGATGGGGATTTATCTTCAAGTTGCAGGCATAGAATATTCCTTTGATTACTTCAGTATATAATTTCTGTGGGATTTGGATACATTGGTACAAAGATTCACTGTGTAGACAGTGTAGGAAAGTTAGGACATTTGTAAGCACTTAAGGTGTCTGTACCCCTTGATTCACCCCAAACAAGAGTGAGAGAGGAGATTTTTTCAGATATTATTAGAGTTTTCTCTTTAACCACGTCATGAAATCCAACCTAATTACTGATTGAGGGAACATTTGATCCTCCCTTGCTGATGCAGTTCATGACCAATCTTGGTCAGTCATGTTATTTTAGTCTTTGTTTATAGAACACATTCACTTGATTATTCTGGAAGCAGAGTTCAGTTGTTACTGTTATTTGAAAACTAATCAATTCTCATTGGGTTTTGTGCTTGAAGTTGACTGCAACATAATGTATGCTAGTTTAAAAGTGCTTTTTACTCATGTTTCAGGTCTTGTTTCAGAGGGGATTCAAATGACTGGTTTAAGGCAGATCAGGTTGAGTTGGCCAGAGAGTTTGAGGGAGAGGCATTTCATGCACCAAATTTGGATTTCCTGGAAGAAGAAGAGAAGGAAAACTGTGAAGCATTCAAGTTTATAGAAGAGGATGCATGCACAAATAATCAACTTGACTTTTCTTGTTTTTCTGGCATTCATGGAGTTGCAGAAATTACTGTAAGGTACATATGATTATGTTCAGTTGTCTTTTGGTACAGTATCTCTTTAGCTTTATTGTGGTTATCAGGAATTAAATCACAGGTGCCTCACACCCGTGTGGCAAATTTTAGATAAAGATACAGTCTTCAAAAATATTTATTCCTGTAACCTATTTACATGACTTTTAACAAAAGTATAAGTTAAAGATGAATTAAACATAATAGAATTAATTGAAACGTATAATGATATTATTTAATATTTTATGTTCCCTTTGATTTTAACACCAAATGAAGTCAATTTGGCATAGATTTAGCAAATGGTTGTTAAATAATCAGGAACCATCTCCATTGCCAAGATCTGCATGAATTCCTCCAGCAGGCGAGGTACTGAGGAGGTGTTGTATGTTAGTACAGGGTAGCTTGTCTTTCAGTGAGTTTCCAGGCCACTCAAGCATTTGTATATTCTTGTACACACTTTGTAGGGAGAGATTTTTTGGCAGCATGACAAGATGGCATGTCTTGCAGTTAGTGCTGAATCATTTGTTCTGACACATCTTGAAGGTGGTTGTGAAGTTCTTTCTAGGCCTCCCTGGAGATAGTTTCGGAGATGGAACATAATAGGTAGGAAAATTGCATGCTTCGATCTTTAATTGTTGCTATACCTCGTGGGGTTCCTCAGGAATTTTTTCATCTGTTAGGGCAAGGATGTGAACCTTTTCCTCACTTGACATGTTATTGGGACCTATGGTGTCTGTTCTGAGGGAAAAAGAATTGGGCTAGTATGACTTTTTGTGTTTTTTCTATGATCAGAATGTGGCATGACCTCTTGCAACAACTGACCTTGTGGAAAACTAGCATATATAGGCCCAAGGCACCACTGAGTTGGCAGAAAAAAATTGCACATAATTTAACTGGGCTTTAGTTTTAGTGTAAAAATGCCTCCATTTATGTAATCAGGATCACTATTTTTTGAAGATAAATGCAGGAAGGGTTTCATCACATATCATAATAATGGGTATTTTGCTTGAACTAGTCAGCACTGATATGTTGCTTACATAAAACGGGAGGTCTGAGTCATCCTTTTTAAACAAGATTGAGGGAGATCTATTTTTCCCCCCTAATAACTCTGGGAATGAGTGTGGATAGGTGAAATAAGAAATTTTATGGTCATTACAGTATTGCCTCTCTCTACTGAAATAATTGGTGAGCAGCCAGTTTAGTATGGAGAGATTTTCGGTATAAAACTCTGAAAAATTCGTAGAGGTATCCCTCGTTTGATGATCATTCACTTTAGCAATATAAAATTTTTAACATCCTTTCTTGTTTAACGATGATCAGTTTTCGGTTTAGCGATGTTCGACTCACTGGGAAAATATTTTTTTGGTGGGATTGGAGATTCTGTGTTCCAAGTGTGCAGTATTATAACACTCTAATGTGGCTTAGAAATAAAGGAAATGTAATACTGTATAAAACTATAAAATAAGAAAAATGAAGAGCATGTGTGTGTGGGAAGTGAATTTATGTATTGAGGCATTGAGCTGTAACTGACCAGCCGCACTCTCCCTCCCCCTATGTGACTTCATGGCATACAGGCAGCAGCCACACACATCTTTTGAGTTAGCTTGGTGAATCCCGACCGAACAGTTATCGTATGTATACTGTACCAATAAATGTGAGGAATAATAAAAATAATAATAAATGAAAAAATACTGCATTGTCATTTGACAATTGTTTCACATCACAAGGGACACAAGACAGCGAACATTTGACAGATCCCCTATGCCACTCCCTACTCCCCCGCTGTGTGTGTGCTAACCCCCACGCACGTAAGAAATGTTTCTGCCCTTATGATTTTTTTTTATGTATATTCTGTATGAATGATTGTGTGTGCTTATAACTGAAAAAAAAGGGAGGTGGGGGGAATTACGCGCAGTATATCTACCCAAAATTACGAGTTGAACAATAACATAGCTGACAGTGCAGCCTCACCTGCTCTGAGTGCTACTGGGCGGCGAATCGGCTACATAATTACAGTACATGCTATCTCCAACCCTTATAATCATGAAAACATGAGGTAGATAACAGGGACACACCACACATGCTGACTGGCTGAGTGCCTGACATCACTTTATTCCGTGCAGCTGGTTGGCTATGCTTGCCTGTATATTCGTTAGTCTGGCTCTGAGGCTCCCACTTGGTAGCTTATCCACGTGCTGACCCGTAAGGTCAGGAAACATTACCTTTTAAATAAGAATCTGGTCTTTATTCTAAGTCGAAGGTTCCCTCCGTTACCATCTGATAGGGTAGAGAAATGCTTGGCTCCGAGTGTCTCGTATGTAATAAAAAAAAAACACCGTACATTGTTTCCAAACACTAGCATTAAGGGGAGAATTTGAATTCTTATTGTTTATTTATGTGGGATAAACCACCAGCCATCATCTGGGGACCACTTTTATGCAGGATGATGTTTAAATGAAATAATAAATTTTAATAAATAAATGTAATTAAAATTTTTTTAATATTGTATTTTTTGTGTTTGTCCTAGGCCTTCGTGGATCATCAGTCCTGACAAGAAGTTAGTTGGTCCTGGGAACAAGATGCTGGTGGAAGATTACTTAAAATCACGAAGTGAAGCTTTAGGCTCCCTGGGAGAGGAGACAGAAGAAAATAGGGTGAGTTCTTTGCTCTACGTATATTAAAAGGAGTGTATGCATGTGTTTGATATTGTTATTGAAACAGTTTATTTCGGCAGAAGAAAACAGATACAGAATCAATTAAAAATCATAATATTAACATGGTTGAGCCAGTTGAGAGCCTGAGCTCTCTTGTAGGCACCTGATATGTATACAGTACTGTACATTTATCTCAAGGAAGTATTATGTAACATGTAGTATCATCTGGAATAGTACACATAGCATGGTGGTGATAAGAACATATCAGAATGTTACCACGGTTATCACTTCAATATTTATTTATTTATTTATATTATTTTTGTTATTTTTTTTACATTTATATTATAAGTATACTGTATACATACTTTACAGTGGAGTTGATGAACATAAATATGATAAGGGAGGGAAGCAGTACAACATGGGTTGTGTTAAGGTGGAACAAGAGGACAAAACTGTCGGTATTATGTCTAGTAGGCAAATGTATTTATTGCAATGGTAATTTCTATCTATCTACATGATAATGTCTGATAAAACGGTTTTGGTGATGCAATAAAAGCAGCATTATAAAGTAGGTATTACAAAATATATTAATACTTAGACAATGAATATTTTTTAAGAGATTATTTAAAGGAAGGGATATTAGTCTTTGCTCTGATGGGTGGGGGTAAGTTGTTCCACACCTTCACGCCATGATATTTTATGGAGGTCTGGGACTGAGAGGAGTGCATAGGGGTGGTCTTAGTAGCTCTTGGTGTCTTAAGTTGTATCTCTGATTTTTCCGGAACAGGAAATGCAGGAATTGTTGTCAAGCAAGTGATTGACAGATTTGTAAACAAATAGGGCACAGCAGTAGGTGTTAAGATCCTCGAATTTTAACATTTTCAATTTAGCAAATTGTTCGTTTGTGTGAAAATTTTTTTTTTTTCAAATAGGTCATTGTCCGCACAACTCTCTTTTGTGCAGTAACCAGGGGTTGTGTTTTTGAAGAGCCAGAGGCCCTCCATAGTGTGTAACAGTGTATCAGGTGTTGGTAAACAAGATCATAATAGATTTCTTTCATTGCTGTAAGAGTGAGTGACTGTCGAGTGTGATACATGATACCTCACTGTTTAGTGACTTTACTGTGAATGGCTTGTATGTGGTTTCTCTAGGTAAGTTTCTCATCAACATTGACCCCAAGGAATTTAGTATTTTGTTCATGTTTGAGGACTGTATTACCAAGGTACAGGGGGTCCAAATCTTGGGTTAAGTTTTTCCTTCTGTGAAAGATCGTGTAGTGGGTCAAGGTCAGTTTATTAAGTATTACCCAGGTCCTGACTTTAGTCAATTCAGTGTTCATAGTTCTCACCAAGGAATAGAGATCCGAGTTGTTTTTTTAATTATACAGGGATTATCTCACCCGGGCACAGGTCACTGACCCACATCGGGGCATTAGGGGTGAAAATGTAATAAAAATAATAAAGAACCATAAAGAAATAAAAAAAAAAAAAAGGTCAAGAGTGAGAAACAACATATGCATGTTGTGTTGTTAATGGTAAGAGAAAAAATTGAGACCCTGCAATTGTGTGTAAATGAGGCAGAAAGTTAGATTAGCAACCTGGGACTTGGTCACAATTTTTGTGATGCCATATGGCAGCAGGATCTACCATAAGACAATACATTATGCTTCCAATATCTTCCCAGATGGTAGTACCTCCCGGTTGGTAGCTGCCTACTACCTAATACCTGCTGGCATAGAGATTACTATCGTCTGCAAATAAGTTGTATTTTGAGTGTGCTGGAGTGGACTATATCGTTTATATACAACAAAAACAGTACAGGACCGAGAAGTGTGTTCATTATTGATTGATTCTGGGAAGTTATGGTGTTTGGTAACAGTTTGAGTGATGCTCCAAATGCTGCAAGGTACAGTCAGTCAAAAAAGTATTTGAAAAATATTGTTCATGATAATATGACACCTGGTAGTTGCAAAAAGGTGGCCATTTTGAGAAATAGGAAAAACTTGAAATGTATAAATGACTGCTATAAGCAGAAATTGGAGACCAGATTTTGAGCAGAAACAGAAAAATGCAAGGATAGACAAAGTTCTCATTTGCTTCACAGTGTGGCACCAATAGAAACAAATGAATGTAATAATAATATCAATATGATAATAATAAAACTAGGTATTTCCTTTCATTTGAGACATGTCAAAGAAGAACAAAGAACAGCTAAGATCTATGAGTATTTAGGTTGGAATAATAGGGCTGTGATAGTTCATAATACTTTAAACCCTCCAGCAAACTAGAGAAGGATGAAGGCTCTTAAGAGAGCTTGAAAATAACAGATCTCCAGGATTGTAGCCACTGAACTCAATTGAATAATGGGGACCTGACTTAACAGTGAAATTTTCAAACTAATACTATATTGTATATTTGGGTCACAATAGATGAGCTTTGTAAATAAGTCAGATATATTTTTACCAAAGTATGATTATATTATCAGGATGACCCTAGTAGTTCC